ATCACGGAGTTAGAACAAGAATCGGGAGAACATGAAGAAGACATAGCAGTAGATCATGAAATTCGTTCAAGAAAAGCTAAACGTGTAGTAATTTTTACTACTAACAAGGAGGATACTGATCCTAATACTACAGATCCTAATACGACAGATCAAACAAACGAAGTGGCTTTGATACGCTATTCACACCAACCCGACTTTCGACGAGGCATAATCAAAGGTTCTATACGGGCTCAACGACGTAAAATAGAAATTGGAGAATTGTTTCAAGCAAATGTGCATTCCCCTCTTTTTTTCAACAAAATCCAAAAATTCCCTCTTTTTTCTTTTGATATCTCCGAGTGGATTAAACTGATTTTTCGAAATTGGGTGGGGAAAGAGAAAGCATTCAAAATTTTAAAGTATAGAAGATATGAAAAGCAAACAAAAATAAAAGAACAAAAGGAGACTAAGAAAAAAAGGAAAAAGCTCAAATAGATATAGCAGAGTACTGGGATAGGATTCCATTTGCGCAAGTAATAAGAGGTTCTATGTTATTAACTCAATCCATTTTTCGAAAATCGATTCTATTACCTTCACTCATAATTTCGAAAAATATTGGACGTATATTCCTATTGCAATTTCCCGAATGGTCTGAAGATTTCAAGGAATGGAATAGAGAAATACATGTTAAATGCACCTATAACGGTGTTCCATTATCCGAAACAGAATTTCCGAAAAATTGGCTGACAGATGGTATTCAGATAAAAATATTTTTTCCTTTCTGTCTAAAACCTTGGCACAAATCCAAAGAAGAGTCCTCTCCAAAAGATCTAATAAAAAATAAAAAAGAAAAAGATGATTTTTCTTTTTTAACTATTTTGGGAATGGAAGCTGAACTCCCTTTTGGTTCGCCCCGAAAACGACCTTCCTTTTTTAAACCGATTTTGAAGGAACTCGAAAAAAAACTGAGAAAATTCAAAAAAAAATCTTTTCGAGTTTTTGTTCAAGTTCTAATAGTGTTCAAAAGAAAAACAAAATTACTTCAAAAAGTTTTAAAAGAAATAAAAGAATGGGTTATCAAAAGGGTTTGTTTTCTAAAAAAAATAATAAAAGAATTTTTCAAAGGTTTAAAAGGCAATCTAATTCGATTATTTCGAATAAGAGAAGTCGAAATATATAAATTGAGTCAAATTAAAATTAAAGAAGAAAAATATTCCATGATTAACAATCAGATAATTCATGAATCATCTAGGCAAATTGCATCTCCAAGTTTGAAAAATTGTTTATTGACAGAAAGAAAAATGAAGGATCGAACTCATAGAACAAATACACTTCGAGATCAAATTGAAAGAATTTCCAAAGAGAAAGTAACTCCAAGAATGAATAATCTTAGTCCCAAGAAAACAAGTTATAGTGTTAAAAGATTCAAAAAATGGAAGGTATTAAAAAGACGAAATGCTCGATTAATGTGTAAATTATCTTTTTTTGTAAAATTTTTCATTGAACGAATATATACGGATCCAATTTTATTTATCATTAATAGTGTCAGAATGAATAGAGAATTTGTTCTTGAATCAACAATTCTTCAGAAATCAATTTACAATAATGAAAGAAAACAAAGAACACTTAAAAAAAAAAATAAAAATACAATTCCCTTTTTTTCGATTCTAAAAAAGCCAATTGATAATATTAGTAAAAGAAATTCACCTATTCTTTATGACTTATCCTACGTGTCACAAGCATATGTACTTTACATACTCTCAGAACTACGGGTCAATGACTTGTATAAATTAAGATCTGTTCTTCACTCTCAAGGACTGCCCTTTTTTCTTTTTCTTAAGCCTGGAATAAAGGATTCTTTTGAAAGACAAGGAGTAGTTGGTTCGAAATTGAAGAATAAGCAACTTCCGAGTTATGAAATAAATCAATGGAAAAACTGGTTAAAAGTACATTATCAATACGATTTATCTCAGATCATATGGTCTAGATTAATACCCGAAAAATGGAAAAATAGAGTTTCTCAGCATCATATAGCTAAAGCTAAGAAGGAAAATGTAAATAAACAACATCGATATGAAAAAAAAAATTAATTAATTCAAAAAAAAAAAAAGAATTTCAAGTAGATTTATTAGTTAATCAAAAAGAAAATTTTCAAAAATACTATAGCTATGATCTTTTATCATATAAATTTCTTAATTATGAAAATAAAACGGAATGCTTTTTTTATGGATTCCTCTTTCAAGGAAATAAGACCCAAGAGATCTATTATAATACACCTAAAGAAAGCTTTTTTAATACACTGAGGAATATCCTTATTAATAATTATATAGGAAAGGTAGATAGTCTATATATAGATCTGGACAAATCGGCCGATAGAAAATATTTGGAATGGAAAATTCCAAATTTTGATCTTAAACAAAAATTCGATATTCAGGCGTGGATGCCGATTGATATCAATAGGAATCAAAATACTCAAATTACTAATAATAATAACTCTCAGATAATTCAAAAAAAAGATCTTTTTTATCTTATGATTTCAGAAATGAATTCATCAAAGTCCCCAAAAACTTTTTTTGATTGGATGAGAATGAATGAAAAAATGTTAAAGCGTCCCAATCTGGAACTTTGGTTCTTCCCAGAATTGGTGTCACTTTATACTGTATATAAAACGAAACCTTGGTTTATACCAAGCAAATTCCTTTTTTTTTATTTGAATAGAAATAAAAAAAGTAGTGAAAAGAAAAAGATCAAGGAAAAAGAAAAAAGTTTGATAGCATCGAATAAAGAGCATCGAAATAAAGAAGAAAGAGAACCCACAAGCCAAGGGGATCTTGAATCCATTCTACCAGAACAAAAAGATATTGAAAAAAATTATGCAAGACCTGACACAAAAAAAGGCAAGAAACAAAAACAATACAAAAGTGACACAGAAGCAAAACTCGATTTCTTCTTAAAACGTTATTTGCTTTTTCAATTGAAATGGGACGATACTTTGAATCAAAGAATGATGAATAATATCAAAGTATATTGTCTCCTCCTTAGACTGATAGATCCAAGACAAATTACTATATCCTCGATTCAAAAAAGAGAAATGAGTTTGGATATAATGCTGATTCGGGGAAATTTCACTCCTACAGAGTTTATGAAAAGGGGAATATTAATTATCGAACCCATTCGACTGTCTGGAAAAAAAGAGGGACAGCTGATTTTGTATCAAACTGTAAGTATTTCGTTGGTTCATAAGAGTAAGTACCAAATTAATCAAAAATACGGATATGTTTTGAAAAAAAACAAAAAAGGGGATGAAGCTATTTTACCACATCAAAGAATAACTCAAAAGATAAAGAAAAATCATTTTGATTTACTTGTTCCTGAAAATATTTTATCGTTTAGACGTCGTAGAAAATTTCGAATTCTAATTTGTTTGACTCCAAAGACTCGGACTGATGTAGATATAAATCTAGTATTTTACAACGAAAAGAGCATCAGCCAAGTTTCACATGATAATAACTACTTTGATAGAGAGAAAAAGAAATTTATGAAAATCAAACTCTTTCTTTGGCCTAATTATCGATTAGAAGATTTAGCTTGTCTGAGTCGTTATTGGTTTGATACCAATAATGGCAGTCGTTTTAGTATGGTAAGGATCCATCTGTATCCACAATTGAAAGTTTGTGGATAATACACTTTTTTTATATATCCTATACTCTATTTTATATATCATTCTATATATCTTATACTCGATATATAATATAGGGTATATGAAAACAAACAAATACACAGATGAATCACATGTCTCACATTTCATTCTAGTATCGAATATGAAATAAATAATGTCTCAATTAGATTTTTAAATGAAGTAACAGAATCTTCTTCATTTTAGGTCTCAAATTTTTGATGTGAAAGTGTACCAATTCTTTTCTATTCCCATCTAAATCCAGTTTGAAATTGGATTGATTGATTTGAATTCTCAAAATGAAGCGTTTATAAAAAAATTCGAATTCGATTATTGTATATAAAAAATTACAATGAATAGGATTATTATTACTGATCGGTAAAATCCATATTTGTAAAAAGAGAAAGAGGAATTTTTTGATGGTAAAAAATTCATTCATTTCGGTTATTTCTCAAAAAGAAACGGAAGAAAAGAGAGGGTCTGTTGAATCTCAAGTATTCAGTTTCACCACTAAGATAAGTAAACTCACTTCACATTTGGAATTGCACAAAAAAGACTCTTCATCTCAGAGAGGTTTGCGAAAGATTTTGGGAAAACGTCAACGACTGCTAGCCTATTTGTCAAAAAAGAATAGAGTACGCTATAAAGAATTAATTAGTGAGTTAAATATTCGAGAGAGAAAAATTCGTTAATCTGAAGCATGATGCCATTTCAGCTTAGTTGTTTACATTTGTATGAACTTATTTTTCATTTCAGCAATACATGGAAGAATCACTCGGGAACAAACTTATGATTTCGCCAACTCCAAGAAAGGACCTCATGATAGTCAATATGGGACCTCACCACCCATCAATGCATGGTGTTCTTCGACTGATCGTTACTCTCGATGGTGAAGATGTTATTGACTGTGAACCAATATTGGGTTATTTACATAGAGGAATGGAGAAGATTGCGGAAAATCGAACAATTATACAATATTTGCCTTATGTAACACGTTGGGATTATTTAGCTACTATGTTCACAGAAGCAATAACCGTAAATGGACCCGAGCAGCTAGGAAATATTCAAGTACCTAAAAGAGCTAGCTATATCAGAGCTATTATGTTGGAATTGAGTCGTATCGCTTCCCATTTGTTATGGCTCGGCCCTTTTCTGGCAGATATTGGGGCACAGACCCCTTTCTTCTATATTTTTAGAGAACGAGAATTGATATATGACCTCTTCGAGGCTGCTACCGGTATGCGTATGATGCATAATTTTTTTCGTATCGGAGGAGTCGCTGCTGATCTACCTTATGGCTGGATAGATAAATGTTTGGATTTTTGTGATTATTTTTTAACCGGGGTTGCTGAATATCAAAATCTTATTACACGGAATCCAATTTTTTTAGAACGAGTTGAAAGCATAGGCATTATTGGTGCAGAAGAAGCACTAAATTGGGGTTTATCAGGACCAATGTTACGAGCTTCCGGGATACAATGGGATCTTCGTAAAGTGGATCGCTATGAATGTTATGACGAATTTGATTGGGAGATTCAATGGCAAAAAGAAGGCGATTCATTAGCTCGATATTTAGTACGAATTAGTGAAATGACAGAATCCATAAAAATTATACAACAGGCCCTGGAAGGAATCCCGGGGGGACCGTATGAAAATTTAGAAATCCGGCGCTTTGATAGGATAAAAGATCCTGAATGGAATGATTTTGAATATCGATTTATTAGTAAAAAAACTTCTCCAACTTTTGAGTTGTCCAAACAAGAACTTTATGTAAGAGTCGAAGCCCCAAAAGGAGAGTTGGGGATTTTTCTGATAGGAG